AGCCACGTCGGAAGCGTGGGAGGGGAGGACTGTAGACGCGTCGGCTATCTGGACGGCCCCCGCAGCGGCAGTGAAGTCGTCCGCATACGAGGTGATTAGGGGGGCGGACTGGGGGAAGTCTGAAACATAGGAATTGAAGAGAACGGGCGAGATGACGGATCCTTGCGGGACACCGAGCGTGGACCGGCCGTGGAGAGGAGATGCAGTTGTTGTAGGAGCACCTGGCTGACCTGCCTCTGATGTAACAAATCAGCCAGCGGTTGATATTGGCGTGTAGGGGGGTTGTGGCGATGTGAGAGATGAGCTGAGCATGGGGCACGGTGTCAAAAGCCTTGCTGAAATCTATTGCCATTGCTATTGTCCTGGTTGGTGGACGAGGCTGGTTGAAGCCTGTAGCTATGGCCTGGGTTAGAGGAAGTGGGGCGGATGTTGTGGAGTGGAGAGGGCGGAAACCGTGCTGGGAGTCCACAAGTGGAAGTGCTGCATTAAGGGATGGGAGGAGCAGACGCTCCAACACCTTCACAGACGGGCACAAGAGGGAAATGGGCCGGTATGAAGAGCTGATAGACAGGGGTTTGCCTGGCTTTGGAAGGGCAATGATTGTGGCCGACTTCCAGATGGCAGGGATATCGGCCTTGGCGAGGGATAGATTGTAAAGTTGGGTGAGGTACTGGATACCACTGGGTCCGAGGTGACGGAGGTGGAGGATAGTGAGGGAGTCTGGGCCAGTGGCAGTGGAGGTACCCAAGCTCTACACCGCCTGTCTGGTCTGATCCGGAGTGAACGCAGGAGGTGTGTCGGAGAGGGGTTACGGCGCTTGATACCTCGGTAGGTGGATCTGCAGGAAGGGTCACGCTGGTAATGGGGAACCAGCGTGAATTTACGGCAGAAGGATGAGGCTATGATATGGTCTGCGGTGGCATAAGAATTATTGAAGGAAATGGGTTGATTGGAGGTGGCCGGAGGGATATAGATGTCATACAGGTGAAGTTGTGTACCATCTATAAAGATGGAGATACCCTGGTGTTCTGTTGTTGCATCGCCAGGGAACAGGTGGTCTGATGGGACCGGGGAATACGAGACGGTATGATTCACAATAAAACAAAGGCCGCCACCGCCAGCGCGAGGGCCGATGGGTCTGTCGCGGCGGACCAGGGTGTAACCAGGGAAGGTCGGGGGGTTTGAGACCTCGGTGAGCTTGCTTTCCTGTATGTACATTACACCCGGGGACAGGTCCAAGTGTAGTGATGCTGGGACGCCCTGCTGAGCCCAGAGCACCGTTTGTGGACCCAAAGGCCGCAGCGGTAGCACCGGAAGGGAGTTCTCCTCCAGGTGACCGGGCGCCCGCAGACGGCACAAGGGTCAGGGCCAGGGTTAGAGTGGATACCCGCCATCAAAAGGAGGAGGGCAATTGTGACTTGGTCAGATGGACGAGCTGCGGCCGAGGTTAGGAGAGACGGTGGGTAGGAGTGACGCCCCACATGAGGGCGCCGCCAAGCCGAAAAAACAGCCCGCAGCAGGTCCGGGAGTTGTGTCCGTGTTTGGCCTAATGGAGCGACGGGTCGCTCCGGAGGGGTCCATCCACCGCGAAGAGGTCCGGACATCAGATGGACCCCAACAGCGTCACTTGGTAATGTTTTGCACATCTTAGTGTCGGCGCATCCACTGTTGGGCTTAATACAAAGAAACAAAACGAATTGAACTTTTATTTTAGAATTTGATCCTATAGACGACCGTTCCAAAGCTTGAGGAAGCAGACGCATAAAGAAGGTTGGAACAAGACCAAGTTCCTGAAATTAAGCTTGGTTGCACCGTAGCGGTACCATTAGAGGTTCGCCGACCTTAAAAACGAATATACCCGGCAAAAAAACTGTCGAGAAATAACAAAAGACCTTGATAGAAGCAAATTTAAAACGTATACTAAGGTATAGCAAAACAGACTTCAAAATTTAAGTAATGGAGAATGAATTCAAACTTATGAAGCAAAGAATTTACCAACCCTTCAAATAAGAAGCATCTCTGAATTTCACTCATGGAGTCGCCGTAATTAAGCTCCCCAAAAAATTGACTGAAGTGCCTCTCCAAATTTGCGGATATTCTATAGAAACAAATTTGAAAAAACTGTTGAACAATTAAGAATCAAAATAAAAGCTGGTCGAGCTCAACGTTTTGTCTCACTATTTCAGTATTGTAACAGCCTCGTACGCACCTTAAAATCATCTACTGCCAAGCGCTTAAGCAGTAATTTTAGGAAGCAAAAAGAGAGCTTAAGGTTAAGCAGCAAAAAGAGAGGTCATATAAAGGGTAATCATGATAGTTGAAGTGAGGACAGACTATCAATAATCAACTATGACGGCAGTTGAAGTGAGTGCAGACAATTAATTTCTTAATCATAGGAAAGAAGTAAGCCTTTCCATAAGGTTCGGAACATATAATTATACAAGGAGCTAACGACCGAAAGTTAAGGTGGCTTTGCCACAGGAAAAGGCTTAGCCCAAGATTTAACCTCGATTGGCCCTCTTCTATAATTAAAGAAGAGAGAACGTGCACTTGTGAAAAATAAATAAAATGAAAATCGAAGAGTGATCACTACAAACTATACATAGAAATTAGGAAGGGATGGCATTATGCACTCTCACCGGAGCAATATTAATCGGATGTTTCCATTTAAGATCCGTGAAGTTTTGTGTCCAGCTACGAAACGAAAGTTTGAAAATTTCTGAAAGTTTGAGATTCGAACAAGAAGGAAAAAGTTTGATGACCAACAAGGTGGTGGCCTTGTTCAAGGTACTCAAGGGTGGCCTAGTGGTTAAATTTCAGAGTACCAAGATTGGCGCAGAGAGGCGCGGGTTCGATCCCAGCTCTAAGCGCTAGTTTCTGGTCAGAATAGGCGAGGAGGCCGGGCGGTTAAGCACAGCAGAATTGTAGCAGTGAGTAGCGAGTTCGAGACCGCAAAATGCTGTGAATGTTCTGCGATGGTAAGAATCGGCGACAGGCCTACGGCCTAATAAACGCTGAAACCGCTATTATTATTATTATTATTATTATTATTATTATTATTATTATTATTATTATTATTATTATTATTTTTATTATTATAAGGTTGCAAAGTTATACTCCTGTCAGCGATTAATGGTAATTTATTTTGGTGTGTTCGTTAAGGTAATGCGGATATATGTTATGATATTAGAAGGAATTCTATGTTTAATGCTAGTATTTTATTTTACTTACATGCGTGTGTATGGGTGCTTAATAATTAAATAAATTAGGTTATAAAATGGACATTTTGTTGAAAAAATATTGATCATACTCATATGTCAAATACTTCCTGCTAAATACAACAATGAGGGTTAATTTGTATGAAGCGGATATCTGAGACGACTTACCGAGGAATTGTTTATTTAATATCTATATTGTGTTGTATATATATTTGTATTTTTCATAATCAAATACTTTATGAGGTGATAAAAGGGCAATGATGAAAGGCTGGTCGAATGGTTTATATGTGAGAAAGTTTTCTGGTGAATTCAACCCAAACTTCGCGCACTTGCTTATTGCACCAGATTTATCACTGACACTCAAAGTGGCTGGGCTCAAATAAATCAACTCCAATCCACTCTATTAGCACGGAAATTACCACAAATATTAATGCAACTTTTATTCGTGAATGAAAATTTCGCTCAACGATATATTTCTATTCATTTTTTGTTGAAATTATCTGTATTCTTCGTCCTAACTTGACTGAAAAGTCTTACGCACGTATTATTCAGTATTTCAACAGTCACCTGTTTCCAGAAATAATGTACATATCATATGTTGAAAGAATTGAATGCCATTTCACCAAATCATCCATTTAAGTTTATCTGGCAGTTTTGAAACGTAATTCAACGAAAGTAACCGTCAGTATTGGAGGTACGATAAGGTTCCTCTAACTGATAAGAGATAAGGAACCCTTACTCATGGTCCGGATAAGACGGAGATTAGGATGCAACAAATACGAGTTTTCACTTGTAATTATTTCAGGAGATTAAATTTCCACTTCCACTACCGGTGCGAGCACAAAGGTTATAGGTTATTACTTAGGTTATTAGGTTATACAGCACAAAGTTACTGATATTTAGAAATAATACAACTTTAAAAGACGTATTTTTTTAAAGAAATTAGAGAAAACAACTTTTTCAAAATTTCTTCAAACAGAAAAGGTGAAGGGAAGGAGCTGACAGTGAAGGCGGCCGAGACGAAGAAACTTTTAGCAGCATCCTCTAGTTGGTGCGTTTTCTGGGTTAGGTGATCTTTTGCAGAAAAATAGTATTATATAGACATCTGAAGTAGTTTGCTTTCATTTGCAATAGTAATAGTGAAATTCCTCAGTATAAACTGCGTTCATTTACGGCTCCGATAAGGTTCTTTACTGATTATTCTTTTATCATAATTTCCAATACTGTTACCAAGCATTCGCATCAATAACCATAATAAACTACAAGTTGATATAAGATATAACGAAAAGTTCTCTAAGCAGAAGTATCATACATCATCATACAAGACCTTCTACCACGCGTCATAATTTATCTTCGAAACTATATCATTTCCTCGCATAAGGAAATTGTCAAATGTACTGCATTGCTATAAATTATTAATACATTGATTTCAGATAAACTCAACAGCTGGCAAATATGGCTGCCACCGCTCAGAACATTTCTCTCGTGCCAGGAATTGAGCTCTCACCTCAGGAAGCCAACAGATACAAGAACATTTTTGCCGTCCAAGTTCCCATGTGTGAAGTTTTTCGTGCCGTTCTAGAGTGGGAATGCAGCGACAAGTAGCAAGGGCAGACTTACGCAAGTTACTTTGAAGAAAAAAAGGAGCTCTATGATTCCAAACATGAATATTTGAAGAATCTGCTCGGAGTTGAGTTTAATGAGCCTAAAGTTACGCTGTCAGCTAAAGACATAGAAAAGCTTCGGGAAGACTCCTCAAAATATGATGTAACTTTCATGTTTTCATTTTTGTGCGAGGTCTTCAAATCCAAAAAAACATACACAAACGCTCTCCAAGCGAGAGTACCTAACCAACTAGAATGCCTGCTAAGAACGGCCAAAGACATGAGGAATGATGTCATGCATGAAGTGGCGGGCTCTGCTGTGGACCCTTATAAATATAATAAAATTTTTAAAGCCCTGCATGACGTGATAGATGAAGCTGGCAATGTGTACAGCATCCCTGCTGATGAAGTAACGAGTTTCAAAACCCAGATAGATGGGATGTGGGATGAAGTGCGCACAGATAATGAAAAAGCTAAGGCTTATTGTCGCTTATTGCTGCAAACTTATGGAAACATAGAAGCTAAAGCCATGTGGGAAGCGATGTTGGCTGAAGAAATTCTTCTCTTTGGCGATGACAAAGTTGAACGCTCGAAAGTGTTCCATTCCCTGGAATTGACACTACAAAAACCTAAAGATCAAACAAAAGACAAGATCTCCTACACTGAACTCCTCACTGCACGCAACGATAAGTTCATAGTAGTCATTGGCGACTCCGGGTCTGGGAAATCCACTTTGGCCAAGAATTTGGTGATCCAGCATCATGGTATCTCAGATGCTGAGGTAGAAATGTCCGATCTGAAGAATCACAATTTGTTACTTTATTATGAATGCAGGAGTGTTTCTACAAAAGAATTTACTGATGTAGTAGAAGAAAACTTCGAGAATGTGTGCCAAAAACTCGGCCCTAAACCTGTTATCCAAGGAATCAGCGAGTCTAACCCTTTGATTCTCATTGATGGCTATGATGAATGTCATAAAGACTCGTATAAGGTTGTGCAACAGATGGTGAACAAAATGAGGAACTATGAGTGTCGTGTGATCATCACCACCAGGCCAAGTGCTGCTGATGAGCTCAAGGACTTTCTGAAGCGAGAAGGCGTGAAGTTCCAAGAGTATGAGATAGCAGAAATTTGTGATTTAGATGACCAACTAAGATTTCTGGAGAATTATGAAAAACATGCCCCTCCAGGTGCTGAGAAAGTTGTGAAGAGCTTCAGTTCTCTTGGACGGGACATTCAAAAACTTTTTGTTCGTCCCATTAATTTGGTTCTCTTTTGTCACCTGGTATGGAACTTTCCCGAGAAGATAAATGACTTGAAATCTCATGCTGCTGTAGCTCAAGTCACTTATGATCTGTATAAGAAAATTATTCAGTCAAAGCTGGCTTCTCACTCTATTGTTGGCAAGGCTGGGCTTATTGATTCTTTCTTCCAAGGCTTAGGCCATTTCTGCTTGAAGATGATTTGTGAAGGACATTTGGTTTTCTCTGCAGAACAAGTTGAAGATCCAATTAGCAGAATCAGTTCAAAACTCGAAAAATATGAGGCGCTGGGGTCGCTTGATCCGAATGCTCTTCTGGGTGTTGTCTTTAAAATAAAACGTCAAATAAAAAATTCTAAATCATGCACATATTTCTTTCATCACAAGAGCATACAAGAACTGTTTGCTTCCAAGCCTGTCTTAATGGAGCTCCGTAAGAATAATGCCTTACCGCCCATCCTGACGTCACAAAAATTAAAAAATGTCATGTGAGTTTCTTGTTGAGAAAGATTTAATTGAAATTCTCAAGACTGTCTCTGAGATAGAACGCTCATACGGTTGTCGTTAGTAACTTCAATTATATTTTAGTCAGACCTGATTCAAGCTACGTTTCACAGGGCTAAATTTTCTAACTAATCATTTTTATAGAGAGACCTAGTAAATTTAGTTCTCACTTTATTAATTTGACCTAGTTAATAAGTGTCTCACTGTACGTATTATCTTCCTGTGCCGTTCTACAATGTAGGAAAATGAAGTATTCGCAATTAAGAAATTAGTTTATCAATCATAGTAAAGCTGCACTTACACATAATGTTTTCTACATAGATTCAAAATAATTCCAGGTAAATTCTAACCTGAATATGATGATTGTTCATGTAATTTAGATATAGATAACCTTTACCAATAATATTTGTCTAATAATATAAACAGGCCGCTAGAAGTGCTTACGTGTGTGTTCATGGAGCTGAGTGCTGCTGAGGAGTCCACTGTCTTAACTGGCCACTCCTGCGCGATGCTATGGGAGGCGTTGACATGAATGACTGGGTGAAAATCTTGCTCCACTGTCCTGACTCGCAACATATTGCTGAAGCGATTGCCGGAGTCTTCTCGGCACTCGGCAATAGTTGGATCCTTGACATAGGTAGTATTTTTATTCAGTGCCTTAAATGTCTGGGAGATTCTACTTCTGGCATTGCACCATCAAATCATCATAAAACTTAGTGTGCGAAGGAAATTATTGATAGTTATTTCTTGCTGGTTGTTTACAGCCCTTGTTGTTTTTCAGGGGGACATAAAAGTCACATACACAATGAAATCTGATATATTGAAGAACTTTTACTTTTCTTCAATATATGCTCCCTTTTATCTGCGGGTCTGCCTTTACTGATAAATTCAAGCTCCTCACAATGACCGTTTGGTTAGAACAAATTTTTCTTCTTTATGTCCAAGATAAACAGGAAGATGTAAACAGAAAGGAATGTTGTATAGGATTAAACGATAGAAAATAAAATACAAATCAGACAATAATTATAAGACAATCTAATGATATGATTGTTATTTATAAATCTGAATGTAAATTCGTAGACCACAGCAGATAGTGTGGGCATCACTCTATTTGTTTCTTCTCCACCTCTGCTACCATCACCCTCTCTCTCTCTCTCTCTCTCTCTCTTTTTCTCTTTCTCTTACCTTAGCGGTACTTTTATACTTCCCTTCCCTCATATTTAACTTCATTATTTACTTATCCACTCCATTTGACTCGCTCTTTGTCCATCATCCTTCTACCTCTCTATGTGACTCAACATACCTCTTCACCTTCTATCGCTCTCCCCAAGCTCACGCCGCATCAGGCAACTAGTATCCTCATCCTTCGTCCGCAGCTGGAGACGTGACGGCATGGGCACTAATGCTGGCACACCGGCAGTTTCAAGTCCTCACCATCAAGACGCCAGCTGCGGTGCTTCGCGCTGAAGGCACCAGCTGGTCAGACCTGGCGCGGCGTTACGAGGGACAACTGAGGCTGGACATCAGACCAGCAAGAGGGACACCAAGCCCCGAGCCCTGCGACGACCTGCTGGAGTGCCTCAAGGGCTCCAGGTCAGCGACATTTGTCCCCTTAGTGGTCATAGTTTAAGTCGGTTTTACTCGCACGACATGATTTTATGAGGTGCTGCAAGAAAAACTAAATTTTATGAGGTGCTGTAAAAGAACAACAAGACTCAGGATCATATGAAGACAATTATCGCAATATTTCTATTCTACATAATATAAAAATAAACTCGTAATAAATAATACACGCAAGATGATTGTAAAGAACAGAAGCTTTTATGAGTAGTGTTAAGTAAACAGACGAATACGAGTATATTTTGCCGAACATTGACTTTGTACTGATGAGCGCATGCTCGGGGATAATAAGAAAGATATAAGAAATGTTGGGAAAATTGGGCACGATGGCGTCAATGTTCCACTACATTCATAAAACAAGAAGACACGAGTATATAGGTATTTATGGACTAAGTTCTTTGACCTATTTACTAGAATAATTATTCTCATTGAAATACACGAGTGTATAGGTATTTATGGACTAAGTTCTTTGAACGATTTACTAGAATAATTATTCTTAGGGGAATATATGGGGTAATTGGTTTCGATTGTTAAAAACAATCCGCATAGTTTATAGTTTTTATGTTCGGCCAAATTCAACTAAATTGAAAAGAAAAGCATGGACAAGAAGATTGGAATACACGGCAGGATATATAGTGCAGAAGCTAAGCATTGACATGTAGAGCAGAATACATGGCAGAATATATAGTGCAACAGCTAAGCATGAACATGTAGAGCAGAATACACGGCAGGATATATAGTGCAACAGCTAAGCATGAACATGTAGAGCAGAATACACGGCAGGATATATAGTGCAGAAGCTAAGCATGAACATGTAGAGCAGAATACACGGCAGGATATATAGTGCAGAAGCTAAGCATGAACATGTAGAGCAGAATACACGGCAGGATATATAGTGCAGAAGCTAAGCAT